CAGGAGGATCCGGGCAAAGAGCCACATATAAAGGACTCTTCACCTGGGAGTGTAGCTCCATTGGTCGGTCGGAGCCGCATCACCTCCAACTTGAGATCCTTGAAGTGGAAGACGACGGACAGCAGATCGCACCTAAGACGACCGTTGGTCCGGGTTGAGGTGCACACGAGGTGGCTGAAACTGTCTTCCTCCCACCTTCCCTCCCTCCTCCCTCTTCGCAAGTTCGACTCCGTCCTGTCGTCGCTCTTTGGCATGCGGTTAGCGTTGCGTATCTTGCGGCCGCACTCGCTCACTCTCACTCTCACTCTCACTCTCAGTCTCAGTCTCAGTCTCAGTCTCACTCTCACTCTCACTCTCACTCTCACTCTCACTGTCTCTCTCTCTCTCTCATCTCTCTCATCTCTCTCTCTCTCTCTCATCTCTCTCTCATCTCTCTCATCTCTCCCTCATCTCTTTCTCATCTCTCTCTCATCTCTCTCTCCTCTCTCTCTCTCTCTCTCCTCTCTGTCTCTCGTCTTTCCGTCTCTCTTCTCTCTCTTCTCTCGCAGGAGGATCCGGGCAAAGAGCCACATATAAAGGACTCTTCACCTGGAATCGTTTGCCCCGCCCAACTTGTGCAAGGCGTCCTGCCTTCTGCTACTCCGTGCGACTGCCTCCAAAAAGAGCGCCGTGTTTTTTCCTACCTCGCTGCCCTCCACTTTCCCATTCTGGAGCGCTAGCTTTCGCCCCCCCCTTGGCCTCAAGTAGTATTTAAACTTGTCTACATGTGTACCTATTCCATCGACTCAATGACGCAGCTCGGAGCTGAACTGTAGCCATAATGCCAAGTAACTCGATGGACCTACAGTAGTCATCTGCTTTGCACCACTGACCGGCAGTTGCAATGGTGGAATGTGGTGGATGTCCTTGGAGCAGGTGATGAGTGTGCCACCTGCCCCACCGTCCGAGATCATCCTGTGCGACCAAACTCCAGACTCGCTCACGTTGTCATGGACGGAGCCCCGCCTGCAACATGGCCATAGGTTAAGCTCCGGATCAATGAACCATCCACCGACTAGTGTTAATCCAACGGTACTCTCCATCTGATGCGTGGCGCCACAGGAGTCCCTTCAAGACGGAGGTCTTGAAGTACTTCACTATGAGCTGAGCCTTGAGTTGGAGGATGCCATCTCGCAGCTTGACCTCCAAGAAATGAGCTCCGCGAAGAATCAATCTAAAACCGCTCCAGAGGGGTGATGAGATCCAGCTTCCAATCTATTTGGAGTTATTGTTCTTTGACTTGGAGAGCCCAGGATCAACCATGCTGATGCGCCTTCGCTACATTTGGGATCTAAAATGGGTTCCGCGCTTTTAATGTGTCTTATCATATATTTGCTTTTGCGTTCCCGACTGGCGAGGAACCGCCAGTCACAATCACGGAGCTCGAACCAGATGCTTGGATGTCAGCGTGAGAGAGGCTTTGGTGCGAGCGTCAATGATCGCTCCCTTCTCAGGAGAAAACCTATGTTTGCTGTGTGCGAGCCATTAATAGAAACTCGGCTTGAACAACGAAAAGCAGCACGTACAATCATGAGAGGTGAGAGGTTGTGGGTGGACCACTCTTGACTTGGAAGTTCTACAGTACATGCTGCTGACTTGTACTAGTGTGCACCTCTCATCTCCTGTCACAAGTGGTTCACTGAGACCAAGGCCTTGGGGCTGGACCATGGAGCGCTACATGGAGCTTCAAGACTGCAGATCCATGTGCGCCGCCTGCTCTCCGAGCGCCGTATGTTGTGCAGGTGCGCCCTATGTCGTTGGAGCTTGTCCATGCATGGCTCAGCCTTCCTTCCGTTCCATTTTCTTCCATCATTTCCTTCCGATTCCTTCCATCTCTCCCTCTCTCTCTATTTTGTTTCCTTGTTCATTTCTTCCATTTTCTTTGAAGTTCTGTTGGGCATGCCCGACCTGTGAGGTTGGGACGTCCCAGGCCTTCTTGCGCTGGGTGCCGGTGGGCGGCTTCCGCGTGTCGAAATATTTGATGAAGGCCCTGAAGGCAGTCTCAGCGTGGCTTGGTCAAAGTCAAGGAGTTGCTGTTCTTAGAGTCTCTAGATGAACTACTGTGAACCATTGTGTTGCCGTTTTCAAGGACAGGCCCTGAGAATGCGGACGGGGTCATTCAGCCATTTGACTGAAATGCCTCATTGACAGATCTGACGGGAATGTGCTGGGACCCATTTTGATTGTGACACAGTGTCGCCATGAATTCTTCAGTTCCTCAGCTTAGGATGTGCGAGGGCGATCAAATGGAGTCTTTGCAGGGTGTGTAAGTTAAGCTCCGGAAGAACCATTTTCAGAAAAGAGATGTCAAGTCAATCTCAGTTTGCCCATTTTCCTGTTCTTGTCCTTTCGATCAATTTTTCTTCTACTTTCCAAGATTGCTCCTGACAGTCCCTTTGAGGACATGCTTTTCACTGATTTGTCTAGCTTTACGCCATATCAGTTCTGCAACTTGGCAGCAATTGATAGCAATTGCTGGCGCTCTAGCATTTGTAACACTCATTGACTCATTGACATAGAAATGATAAGGGCTAGTGGTGAAGGAGAGTTGTGATCACACAAGGACGTTTTTCATTCAGTTTGATGAGCTTGGGCTGAACCCTCTTCATTCAGTTCATTTTTCAGGTATTGCAGCTTGCAACTCTCAGGGGCAGGGCCCCTGGAGCAACCTTACTCCAGAGGCCTGCCGTTTCTCAAGAAAACCCCTGCGCAGGGCGAGATAGTCAATAGTAAACTCATGATATCATGATATAAAATCAACAATGTGATGGCGTAGCATAGCAGCAGCTGTACTTCCGACATGTTGACAGGTCTTCACTGAGCCAGATTTGCCTGGCCAAGCCGAAGATGTCGCATGTGTAGCTTACGGGGCACTGAGAAAACAGACCCGTGAAAGCAACAAGCAGTGCCAATGCAACAACACACTCACACAACAGTATATTTCTTGGGAAGTCCCGGCCAAGCCAAGGTAGCAGAGCGTGCCTCACTCTGTGTCACCTGGAAGCCGCCCAAAGATGAAGGCCACTCTGAAAGCCAAACGAGCTTCTTCACCATGAGAAAGTGTAAGAACAAGACAAGGCTTCTGAACGAGGCATTGTTTGTCGGCTTTGTGTTTGATTTGTCTCCAAGTCTCGGCAGGTGGTGCTAGTGTGCTTGAGTACATGCTGCGGGTGAAGTCAATGGAGCTCGACAACCCGCAAGTGACCTTGCAGCAAAAGTGTGCAGTGTGGGGGCTTCCAACTGGTTCAGGCAAAAGGATTCCAAATGATGCTTGAGGTTCTGGAGATGTCCGTTGGGAACTCACCAGCTTGGATATCTGGGCTTTTCGGCAATTGTAGCTACCGCAGCTTGGCAGAAGGAAGGAGGGAAGACCAGTGCAACAAGACAAAACATATCAAACATATCAAACCACATCACACATATCAAACCACAATACTGCAGTTGTCACAAATTGTCCAAATGCTTCTAGGCATCTCTGTTGCAGCCCGGAATGCAGCAGGTTTGGGATGTTTTGTTGATGTGGAGGCGGAACGAATGAACTTTGGGACGAGACGGAAGGACGCTCAGACAGGACGGCAAGAAAGCTATTTATATTATAAGGTTGGAGGCCATCGCTATTAGGTTAAGTTTGCTTCAGACTAGATGCGTTGTCATGTTCAAAACGCCAAAGCCAGGGGCGGACGGCAGTCGTGCCGCCCAACGCACCTCGAGCGCTGGAGCTTTTTTGCGCGGAAGCGGACGCTGTCATAGTCAGGCCTGGACCTTGTGAAACAGATTCGCGTTGCCAAACAGGTCCAGTCCAGTCGCTGCCTGGAAGTTGGTACACCAGTCGCTAGGGAGACATCTTTTTAAGCTTTCTCCTACAGTTTTCAAAAGGTTTGTGGAGAGGTCCTGTTTCTTTCCATCTTCTTAGCTTGCAGTTCTTTGCTCAACTGATTTGCAATGCACGATGGCTGGGAGCCAGGTGGTTGCCACCCGGCAATGATGGTGGATCGCCTGTGCTCAACTACGTTGTCAAGGACAATCACATCTTCGAGAAACTTTTGCAAACTCGATTTCTACGAGGAGCAAGAAGCTACTAGGAGCTCCTGGCATCGCTACTAGGAGCAAGAACGCTACTAGTAACAAAGGGCATCGCTACTAGGAGCAAGGACGCTACTAGTAACAAAGGGCATCGCTACTAGGAGCAAGGACGCTACTAGTAACAAAGGGCATCGCTACCAGGAGCAAGGACGCTACTAGTAACAAAGGACATCGCTACTAGGAGCAAGGACACTAGGAGCAAGAAGCTACTTCGAGCTCCTGGCATTGCTACTAGGAATTCGGGCATCGCTACTAGTAGCAAGGACGTCATATGATTCTCTCATAGAGTAGCTTCAGTGACCTTGCAAGTGGACTGTGTCTTCGTCAGGTGGCTGGACCGGATGAGCCTGAGTTGGAACTTGGCTGTCTTGCCCATCCTGATCCTAAAGCGGCAGGTGGCAGTTGTGACTCCTGTTTGTCATGTCAAAATCGAAGCGCGCATGGCAGGTGGTACCGAGAAAAGCGCAGCTGGTGGTCCTGGAGGCTCAAACGTATTGAAGAGTTGGTGACGCTGCAGCATGTCCACTGTTGCAGTAGGTCATCAGCCAACCCTGCCTTTGATGAATCTTCTCCCGTTCCTTCCGCCACACTAGGGAGAAGCAACCACAAAGATCTACACAGCATTCACAAGACCACTATCACTTGAAGCCACAAGTAGAGGCAGTTTCAGAATCAGCAGCAGCTTGCAGCAATACTTTATACAAAGACTCAGACATTGTACACAGTCAAGTCAAGGAGTTGAGGCCACGTAGGGCCCAAGCTCACAGGTTTCAGCACAGTGCATTGACAGTGACAAGGAAAGATCTGGAGAGATGGCCCAGATGGCGGTTCTACATCCCTGTGCTGGGCCCTTTCAACGACTGGCGCTTCAAGCCGGCTTTCACAGAATAGTTTCTTGCCTCAAAAGGGAAGATAGGAAACTTTGGACCCTGCTTGGCATGTTCATTCTAAGCTTTAATCACTTGATAGCCAAGGGTCCTGACACGGTCTCCAGTGCCATTAAGTTCGAGAAGAGCCAGCTTTGCTATGGCAGTGTGGCATTGGTGTCAGTTTTGCAGTCAAGATGGCGAAGGAGATGGCATCTTTGCCGATTGGCAACCAGGAAGGCGAAGCGGGGCTTCCAAGTGGATCCGCCTAAGGTGAGAAACGTGGAGGTCTTGGAAGCTGAAGTAGAAGCAGAGGTGATTGAAGATCGCAGGGTTGTGCTGCCTGAGGACACTGATGCTGTGGATCCAGAGGTTTTGTCAGACGACATGAGTGAACTCGAGGAGGCAGCAGAAGGAGGGGCTGTGGGTGCGATGTTCCGGTTTGGAAAAGCTCTGCTGCAGGGGTGGGATGGCCAAGAGGCAAACAAGGCTAAAGGCTCGCAGTGGCTTCTACGCTCAGCAGAACAGGGACATCGACCTGCGCAAAGTGCAGTAGGAGAGATGTTCTATACTGGCTTAGGCTTGCCACAGAACAAAGAAGAAGCATACAAGTGGTTGAAACGAGCAGCTGCGCCACCAGTACCCGAGGCGCAGTTTAACCTAGGAGTGATGCTCCAAACCGGAGATGGCGTGCCGATGGACAAGAAGAAGGCATACAAGTACTACTTGGCAGCTGCGCGTGCAGGGGTGGCTCGAGCAATGAATAATATAGGTTACATGCTTCGCTTTGGCGATGGAATCGAAGAGAACAAAGAGGAGGCTTTAGAGTGGTATTTGCAGGCGGCGAAGACGGGTGATATGGATGCACAATATCACCTCGGAGCGACTCAACAAGAATAGAAGAACCTGTCTTCTTTCTGGCTCCTCTATCCACTGCAAACTGAAAATACACCTTTTGTTCAGCTAATTATGCTTTTGCTTTCACTCAATGTCAGTGTTCCCGTGGTCCTGGTCAGTGAAGGAGATGTACCACGAAGGCCATGGCACAAAGATCAACAAACGTCGCGCGGGCAGATGGTTTTTGAAGGCTGCGGAGCAGGGACGAAAGGAAGCTCAGTACAATGTCGCGATGATGTACCACTTTGGCACCGCGTCAGCAAGCAGCAGAGGCCCCAAGTCAATAATGTACTGGCTGGCTTTTCTTGTCATGTTGGAGTCTTTCTTTAAGGTAATGGCCTGCCAGCTGACCGACCAGAAGCGTCAAAGTGGTACCGTAAAGCAGCAGAGCAGGGCCTGGAGAGTGCCCAGCAACTTTGCCTCGTGTAAAGTACTATACATAGCCCACAGGAATTCTGATGTCTGAACATTCTTGCATAGGGCGCAATTAGGTTAGATGCCGTCGCTACTAGAAACAAAGAATAAAGACAAAGGAAGAAACACCACACTCTTTAGCATGAGCCGCTTCCCAGCTCTCCAACCGCTTCCAAGGTATGCCTTGGGTGTGATGTTTGAGCGTGGAGAAGGCATTGAGGCAGAAACGTACGCATGGGCGTGAGGGTGTGCTTCTCTCCAAAATGCAGTTTTGGACCTGTGTGCCCTTTATAGGTGGGCAAAGTAATTCTGTGTATATATATATAGTGTATATATATATATACGTAAAATACCAAGGGAAGTGTGACAATCAGAGGCGGATTACACATAATACAGTAATTGCCAGCGACAGTGAGTGGCAGTGAGTGGAGGTCGACTTCGACGAGTCCTTCAAGTGGTACAAGATGGCAGCTGAAGCAGGGCATGTGATGGCACAGAACAACCTTGGGGCGCTCTACTACCTGGGGCAGGGTGTGCCGAAGCTCTTGCAAGTTAATCACGCAAGAGGTAGCCTGAGCTCGTGAAGTCAATATTACATTAGTAAACCAATGCATTGGTACTCCAAGTGCTCCATAGATCGTTGTTTTCTTCAACCATTTCCCATGGATTTTAAGAAAATCATCTGTTGTCTTGAGGGGGGCGATTTCGATTTCCCTTTGGTCCGGTCCTTTGGTGATCTTTGGTCCACGGGCCCAGGAGTGCTTGGGATCCTTCTGTGAATTTTGAGAAGCTTACGGCTTAAAGGTCTAGGTTTCTGGATTCCGTTTAGACTGCTGCAGTGGGTTGTTTTTTGTCGATGGGCTCAGGAAAGTTCGGTTTCCCAAAAATCCAGGAATCAACTCATTAAGCCTGAGCCCTTCTGCGTCCAAGCCTTAGACGCTACTTGAGCTTAGTAGCTACTTATCTTACCTTCTTAGGCACACCCCCGGGCAAAAACATAAAAAGAGCTATAGCAATATCGATCCTGGACACTTGCCATCGATGCTGCATGGTGCTTTTGTCAAAGGACAGAGTATGCAGCGCAGCAATCACTTTCAAAAGAAAGTGTTCAGTCTATGTCGTCCTCCCACGAACACCCCACCATCTGATCTCCGCCCAGGGCGCCCACACCCTGCACCGCACCCCCTCTCAAGTTTTTCCAGACTTGCGCACTGCGTGTTTGCTTCCAGTGCATCAAGCCGTATGCATCATTTGGTGCTTCTTTTTGAGGTGCCGGAGGACAAAGCCACAGCTGCTGCTTGGTTTGAAAAAGCCGCCCGCGAGGGGCACGCCCAAGCCATGAAGAATTTGGGCAAGATGTATGCGGCAGGGGATGGCGTTCCACAAGATGAGGAGAAGTCAGACTATTGGTTCAAGAAAGCTGGCATGGGCGAGCTCTATGTGAAGGGTAAGCGTGCAACAAATCTGTAGAGAACCTCGCCACATGCGGATCGCAGAAAGCAGAAAAATGAGCGTGCCGGGAGAGAGATAGAGAGCGAGAGCGAGAGCGAGAGCGAGAGCGAGAGCGAGAGAGAGAGAGAGAGAGAGAGGAGAGAGAGAGAGGAGAGAGAGAGAGAGAGAACCGGATCCGGGGAAGTTGCAGTCCGGGATCACCGGATCTAACGTTCTCTGTCGGTTGTCCCACACGTCACCACGCAGGTCTCCAGCTCCCTGCTCTAAGAGGTGCTACGGCGTTGGACACTTAGGCTGCTCACTGATGTCTCCTGTGATTGGCCACAGATGTTTTTATGCTTCTTCGTTCCAATTTTCATTTTCTTGCCTTGCAGATTGCCACAGATGTTCCACCAAGTTACGTTCTGAGGTACACTGTGCGGGTGCATGCCTGCAATAAGGCTGGCACATCCCCAGCCGCAGAAGTCACAGTACGGACAGGGCCAACAGTGCCAGGCCGGGATGCGGTTTGTGGCATGTTTCCCCTGGTTTCCTACTGCCCGGTGTTTGGTTTCCTCTCACGTCAATTCACTTTCCCAGGTGTGCCAGAGCCACCACGGGTGTCCCGGCGACCTGGGCAGTTGAAATTGCGCTGGGAGCAGCCAGAGGAGCAGCGAGCGAATGCTGGCTTGAGGTTTGAGTCTTGTTTTGTGGGGTCTTCCATCGCTCGTATGTGCTAGCTGCTAGGTGCTGCTAGGTACTGAATCTGGTAGAGACTAGTGACTAGTCATTGCTGTACTTTGTGCCTTGTGGTTGGCTCAAGAAGGCCGGGGCTTCTTCATTCGCTTTTATTCAGGCTTAGACTTTGCCATGGCTCGAACCTCGCTGCTGTCCAAGACGCTGCTTGCATCATGTGTAGTGGTGGTGCTCAGGCAGGGATCAATAATTGAGTTCTTAAGGCAGGCACGGGGTTCAATGACATCTATGGACATGAACAGCTTACTAGCAGCGATGCTCTTGTTACTAGTAGCAATGCCCTTGTTTACTAGTAGCGATGCACTTGTTAGTTTCAAACTTTACCCTTTACCTGAAGGCTGCTGCCTGGTGATGAGACCTTCGTGGCGCCCAAGCAGCGCAACGAAGTGGCTGCGGCAATGGCAGCTGCCATGGTAGCAGCATCATCCGGGCCAGCAATGGCTGAGGCACTCTGGCAAATTGTGTTTTAATGCTTTACCATGGTTATAAAATAATGGGTTGAATTTGGGCCAAAATGTAGTGCTGATGCTCGGTGGAGACTTTCCTGACACAACTTTCTTCACAATTCAGGTCCCAACCTTTTCTGTCTTTGGCTTTGGCAGCGGCCAGTCGGATGCTTGGACAGTCCTTATTCGAGGCTGATGTTTTGACGCTTTTAGTGTCTTGGGCTCATCAAAGCCATGTGTGACCTGCCACCTTGCATTGCCAAGTGCTTAAGGACGCCTACAGTCAGAATGACAACCCCATCAATCCGTACTCCCAGTTCAGCGATGGTACGGACACCGTCTACCAATTCAAAAACAAGGATGAGGTTGAGAGAAGAACCAAGGCCCTGAATGCAGCCCTGAAACGCTTTGAGGATACTCCTGAGCTCATCAAGACCAAGCAAGCCCAGGGTCTGAAGGCAAACCTCTTGGAAGCCAATTCCTTGAGACAAGATATGCTGTACTTCTCTGGTGCGGAGGGTTCTCAGGCCTGGGACAAGGCCCGCGCATTTATCCAGAAAGTTGGCACAATGGGCGTGGATGGTGGGAACAAGCAGTGGCAGGCAGCAGCCAAGGACTATGACCAAGCCGAGACTTTGCTCAAGGAGTGGAAGGATATCTCTAAGTTCTGAGCGATTTGATGAGGCTTTTGGGCTTCCCCCTTTTTCTAAGCACAAGCGCTTCAGTGGGTTCCACACTTCGCTGTGCTGAGCAAAAAGGCGAGCCGGTGCCAAAAGGAGCCATGCAGACTGGTTGATGCAGGTGAAGTGAAAAGGAAAACGTTGATTTGGTGGGGCAAGTTGATGATATAGGAATTTGCGGTGGATTTTTGTAGGTCGTCTGAGATGATAATTGAATTGTGGAACTGTAGCCACACCATCTCTACAGATGCTTGCGGCAGGATGGCGGCAGTCCAGTGCTGCAGTACGAGGCTTGCCTTCTCATCAGATTGCAGTGTTGCTTCTCAAAGTGTAGCTGTGTTAGACAGACGCTTTGCAAACTTCAGTTCGAGTCAGTTGTACAGTGAAAATAGGTCGGTTTGCGGTTGCAAGATGTGGCAGGTTCGAGTAGCCTTGAGTGGGGACTTGACAATCTTGGCGCAGCTTTGTGTCGAGGGCCAGGAGGTCAAACTGGCAGGCACGGAAATACAGGAAAGGGCGTTGTAGGAGCAGGTTGACACGACGATTGCTCCTTTTGATTCCTTGTGTGTACCTGTCTCAATGCACTCAAGTCACTGACTGCTGCACTACTAGCCTGCTGTACCCTACGGCGCCTTTGTACCTTCCCCCTTTCAGCCCATGGCCTCCTCCTGTTATGGGCGGGAGGCCATTGCTACTGTGGTGGAGGCCATCGCTATTAGGTTGGAGGCCATCGCTATTAGGTTGGTTGGAGGCCATGGCTACTAGAATCCTTTTGTCCAGGTTTGCTTTTGCTTTTTGCTTAGGCTTGGAGCCAGGCTGTAGCTACTGCGCTCAGCTCCGTGCGCGGAACCAGCGGGGCTGGGGCGCGTGGTCTCGCTGGAGCGCACCACGTTCTCCAGGAGCAGTGCCTGGGCGACCTCCAGCGCCCCGTGCCCCGGCCCAGACCCACAGAATCAACTACTCGTTGGGCATCATTGTGCATCTCAAGATGATGGTTCTCAAGTCCCTGGATGTTACAGATGTTACTATTTCCGGCTTTGCTGCCCTTTTTGGGTGAAGAGTTGTCATGTTAGGACCGCTTTTGCAAAGAACGGCACGGTCTTTGCTGGCAGAATGGGACCCGCCAGATAGCGAATCTCATCAGCAGTTGACATTTGAAGCTGTTTGCATGCCATTTCTATGAACAAGATTTGGAGAGGCTCGATTGGTATCTTGGTTTCCTAAGGACACACCCCTGTTGGAATACGAAGTGTGGTGTGGAAAGGAGGAGACATTCTGTCATGGTATAGCTCCGGCAGAAGGGAGGCGGACTCGCACTTCCCGGACAGTGGCAAAGATGACAGGTTTGGCCCCTTCGAGCCAGTACGTCTTCCGGGTTCGGGCTTTGAACGTCTCAGGCTGGTCGCCGTGGTCTGCTCCTTCGGATCCTGTGTGCACCATGGATGCGCAAAGTAGCGAAGAGATTATGTCAGCAGTGTTCCGACACTTCGGAACGGTTGGAGCTGCTTTCCGCGCGTTTGATCGAGACAGGGATGGCCTGGTGAGCAGAGAGGAATTTGTCACAAGCCTTGGTCTCACAAAGTACCGCTTAGGCTTGGTTTCGTTGGAGCAGCGAGCGCATCTCTTCTGTCGGGCCGATCGCGGTGGGAGTGGATTCCTGTCTTATCCTAACTTCGCCTCGTTATTTGGCAGAGCCTCTTCGAGGCGGCCGCATCGTCGCTCATTTTCACAGGATACTTCAGCTTCACAAGATGGCCTGTGCGGGCCTGCAAGAGCGGGCATGCGGCGGTGGAGCCAGGTGACACCTCAATGCTTGAACGAGCGTTTACAACAAGCGAGCTGCATAGAAGTCCTCGCATGCAGTGGCAGCCAATCTGGTTCCTGCAACTCGTCAAGGGCAAGTAGTCCAGCACTCCGACGGACAGATGTGGAAGGAACCACTCAACCACTGAGGGACCGTGCAGATCTTGAAAACCGTGACACTTTGCACCGGTGTTGCCTCACGTGCTCTCCAACCAAGCTGATGCTTGTTTGCACCATCAGGTCAGTTGTCCGGCCTTGCTTTGTGTTTTCCTGATTAAGATGTTTGAGTGTTGAAGCGGTGAAGTAAAATGAGTCAGCAAGGCCCACCATGGACTACCATGGGGAAGCGTTGCCGGCATTGCCTTTGCTGGGGGCAGCTCGAGCACCAACTCCTGACAGATAAGAATGACTCACCCTTTTGTGTTTGCCATTTTCCTGCCGCGAGCCTCCGGAATGTACACAGATAATGTGATTACTGTATATCGGTTCTATTGAACGCGAGGTTGTCTGCAACAATAGATAAAATTGAACGCGCGGAGATCTGCAAAGACAGAGTGCGAATCAACACCTCCTGCTGCAACCCTGTTGATGTGGGAGGAACATGCACACACACACGCACCAACCCAAATGTCTTTTGCCAAATCCAGGGGTTGATTGGCAGAAGCAGTATCAAGGTTAAGATGCTGCAAATGCTAGCGCAAATCTTGGCACGTGCCACAAGAGCGAAGCGGCCTTTTCGGTGTTTGTGTCTTGCTCCCAGGCTTCTAAAGACACCTAGTTTGGTTCCTTAGTGCTTGCCCCTTCAAGGGCAAGGTCTGAATGTCCATGCAAAAAGGACAGGGAGGACGAAGAGACCATTACAGTACACAAAGGTGCACGAATGTTGACGGATCGATATAGACAGACAGTCTCAGACAACCAGCAAGATCCCTGCTGTCAACTGCGGTTGTGCGCGACTAGGTTGAGCACTGTAGAACCGACCAGTTGGCCGCTCTGTAGGGTAGCCCAGAATCCGGAGAAAGGAATCTGTTGAAAACGTTTGGTCGAGACCAAATTCTTCAAGCATTCTTTGCCAGAGTAGAGCCGTGGCTCTCAACTCAGCTGGGAGAGTCTTTTTCCATGCTTGGCTCTTGCACATCAGCATTTAAAAGATATAGACTCGGGCCTTCATGGCGCTAGAGAGGGCGTTGTTGACACGCCCTCAAAAACCAACATCATTATATCGCCGGCTCAATTGGTGCTGATGAGGTCGATTGGTGCCGGATGGATGCCCGAGACCCTCGAGTGATGGAGAGTGGCGTCAGTGCGAGGCGAGTGGCGTCAGTGAAGACACATGGCATTCAGTCTCAAGCTGCTTAGAAGTTTGGATCAATTTGGATCAGGCGCGACGGGAACGTCGCTGCTAGAGGAGCGCAGTCACCCAGTGTGCAGAGCAAGAGTCATGATTGAGATCTCGATCCCTCAGGGCGATCTCCCTGGAATCTGCCCGAGATGCTGGCAACAACATGAACACAACTCCACGAGGCCTCAGAACTTTGCCTTTGCTGCTGCTGCTGCTGTGGCTTCACCGCTTGGCAGGTTTGTGGCTGATTTTGCTCGTGGTCAATTCCGCCACGAGAAGTGCGGTAGCTCAGCTGGCTCACTCCGTAGAAACTTTTCCGACGGCACGCCAGGCCACGATCAACTTGTTGTCTCGCCCATTTTCTCAGGGCTATTGCTGCTGTTTGGCTCAAAGCAATAGCACCAGGACGGCTCAAGACAGCTTTGGGACTGTCCTTGCAAAAGTATGTCGCTACTTGGTTGCAGCGTGTTTTGGTTGTTCAAAGCTGTCTTCAAAATTCCAATCAGTGCAATAACACCGAAAATGAAAGGTATAGTATAGTCTGCAAATATGTTGCGGCTGTTGCTGTGCCCCTTGAGGTACTATGCCGGGCCGGCGGGCCATCCGACAGGTACCCGCCTCTTCCGTCACAAGCTGACACCGCAGGAGGAGGCGTGGCTGCGACGCTGATCCAATCGGATATATGGGCACCGAACCCATATATTATATATACTATTTAATATACATTAAAACATAAGTGCATGGCTTGCAGGAGATCATCAAAGTGTCTTTTGAATCTTTCAGCGAGGACGGGGGCAGTCTGGGAAGTGAAGCGCAGGAAACTATCATCGGCTGTGTTGGCAACATCGTGGAACTAAGATTTCTTGTATGGGGAAACGCCCACGGACTTAAAGACGAAACGGGTGGCGTACGAGTTTTTTCCATAGGATTTGGGCTCACAGCTGAATGTCCTGCACGCTGTGCGGGGCTTCGACTACGGACCTGGACAACAAGTGCACCTTCTGCCGCGTTAGAGACCACTTCTGGGTGACCCTTGACGATCTCCCACCTGAGCTCCGAGGTTGGGGGGTCACCAACTTAAGGATCTGGAGTGGGATCATCCACGAAGAGCTGGACAAGTACAGGACCGTGCTAGCCCAGAGGCTGGAAGGTGAGGCTACTGCCGCGCCCAAGTCCCGCGCTTTGAGTCCAGGTCCGAGGACAGAAGCTCCTACTAAGGGGAGCAAGGAGGTCGAGAAAGAGAAGAGCCCCTTGGTCAAGAGAGAGGAAGAGAAGCATCAGAGTCCGGCAGGAAAGTCAGCAGGTGTCAAGGACATCGAGGACTCGCCTGGTGAGGAAGGGAAATACTCCAGTTCAGCCCGAGGTGGAGCAGAGCGACGGAGGAGCGCAGGTCGACGAAGGGCTTCAAGCAAGAGTCGCAGGAAGAAGTCAAAGAGCCGGTCACGACGCCGACGCAAAAGGAGCAAAAGCAAGGGTGCAAGAGAGGAGAAGCCGAGGGAGAAACGAGAGGAGAGTCGAGGAAAGGAGAAGAAAGCAAAACCATCAGTCAGGCCACCAAGAACCCCGTCAAGGAGCCCACCAAGGAGGACAGGACCGCCATCGCCAAAGTCGAGGCCTACCGGGCAAAGCTGGTCAGGGCCCATCAGATCGTGGCAGAGAGACGCTGCCTTCTGGGGCACCAACAAGGGCAGGGGGAAGAAAGAGAGGCAGTACTACTTCGGCCAGGGAGGTCGGAGGTAGTCCAGGAGAAAAGAAGAAATGGCTCCAAAGAGGAGGCCTGCAGCGGCAGAACCAAGAGGCCGCGGTCGGAACGAAGAACCTCCTATGAGAAGGGGAGGAGTGAGGTTGAGGCGACCGGCACGAGAAGGAGAGGCTCCAGCCGAAGGTCGGCATCTCGAGGCCGGGAGGAATTTCGAAGAGGGAGTGGCAACACCATGTCAAGAGGTCCCCATCGACTCCCTTCGAAAAAGGTTAGCGGTTCATGTCAGAGGCCGTTATTGGAGCGCTCCAGGAGAGATCTCAGGGTTGGTGCGAGGAGTCCAAGTCCGCTCCAAAGAAGACATAGAGGTGGAAATCGACCTGCAGGGCACAAATACCGAAACGATCTTGCGCTGGGCGAGCGGTGCTGCCGAACGGGTCATGAGAGTACATCTGTGCGGTTGCCGCTGCACCGACATGATCGACTCAGAGAACCTCCTACATGGGGAGGAGATGCGCGTTCGAAAGGGAGAAGATTTGGCTTGGATGACGAACCTCACCGAGGCCGGGGACCCAGCAGAAGCAAAGGCAGCAGCAGAACCTCCTTTGGGAGAGGGGAGGGAGAAAGAAGGCAAGGGGAAAGAGAGAAGCCGGGGCCGCAGCCGCGAAGTCGAGAAGAAGAAGAAAAAGAAGAAGAGGGAAAGGTCAGCCGAGAAGAGGAGCAGGTCGTCAGGAGAGGGCAAGTCATCGAAGGAAAAGGCCAAGAAGCACCTTTCCATCAAGAACCTGGCCAAGAAGACCCCAAAGTCAGTGTATGGGGGAACGGGAATGGATCCCGACCCGAAGGTCAGGAAGAAGGTGGCTGCACGGGCTGCAAGGCGGCTGAAGAAAAAGAAGAAGAGCTCATCGAATTCGTCATCAAGCGGGAGCAGCTCCGAGGGGAGCGACGAGGAGAGCGACGAACTCTTCGAGGAGACCCAAAAGGTGAGAAAGGTGGGGAGGGTGGCCCCGGGTGCCCTGACTTCAGCGGGGTGCAAGGAGATGGCCACGAACCTCCTGAGTTCAACAGGCGGCATTTGGGATCAGACGGAAGGCCCCTTGCAGCCAATTTGCTGTCAGTACTTCAGGCAGGTTCTGAGCTCGAGGGTATCAGGTGGCCAAGCACGGGAAGCTCTCACTCTGAGCTGGTGCTTGGATCTGCTCATCCAAGCGAGAGTTGCCGAAGCAGCAGATGGGCTCACGCGGAGGCTAAAAAGCCTGGAGATGGCTTCACAAGGGGCCGCATGGTCAATCGCGCAGCGGGTCGAGCTGATTCCTGCAGAAAAGCCTGTCATCAGCAGTCGTGCCGAAGCTCGAGAAGCTATCAAAGAGAACAAAGAAGAAAGCAGAACACGTGCCGACGCCAGCAAAGGCAAGCGCAAAGGAGAAGGCTGGGGCACTTCGTGGCGCGATTCGTCCTGGCACACCGACAAGGGAAAGGGAAAAGAAGTGAAAGGCAAAGAAAAGAAAGGAAAAGAGAAAGACCAAGGGAAGAAGCAGGAGTGAGGAGCCCAGATATAGAGGAGAAGGAGAGCTATAAGGGATGCAGGCCGTTTGAAGAGGAGCCTGCCCATTTTCCAGGTGACAGTGCACTGGGACGTCACGTCGATGACGGTGCATTGGGTACAGAGGCCAAGAGGCGCTGTTTGAATGAAGTAGCCCTGGCCGATTTCGCAGGTGACGAAACCTCGGACAGAGGGTCATCGAGCAAAAGTGCATGCTTGAAACCGCCGGGAGTGGGAGAGAGTTTGGCCGCAGTGTTTCCTGGGGTGGCCTCCATGTTGGCTAGATCTTCCTTTGACTTAGGCTTGTCGATGCAGTGCATGACCCAGCCCACGGGTGACCTTTTTCCGTTACCCACCGATATGGGGGTCCTTGAGGAGGCACTTGGAGCCACACCTGTAGTTGCAGCTGCCGTTCGAAGTTTGTGTATGGCACTGAACTCGCTTTATGGTAGTCCTCTGGAGAACGGTTTCCCCCCCTATTCGCCTGCAACTCAACGTGCTGAAGTTTTTGAAGGGTCAGGCTGAGGAGGTCCAGCGGTGGGAAGAGCGTTTTGTTTCAACTGACTGGCACAGTTTCTTCCAGTTGAAGACCGTCGACTATAGTGGGGATGAAGTTCTCTGTGCCCAGTACACCAGTTGGGAGAACCTTGACCCCGCCATGCCTACAGAAATCGCCTCGATCCCTTTAGGCAGCGTGTGTGATTTGGGTTGCAGACATTACGTTGAAAACTTCACCCAGTATCTGTTGCCTGAGGAGTTGCAGCAATCCATGAAAGCTCCCCGCGTGATGATCAGCGACGAGGCTTGGCCCGGAGTGTGTCGGGGGCTGGTCGATCGAAAGGTCTGCATTTTGTTGAAAGAGAAGAGCCTTTTTCACATTGATAATGCACCCCTCCTAAACGGACTCTTTGGAGTCCCCAAAGGGGAGGACCAGGGCGGCATCCCCATTCACCGCTTAATCATGGACCTTCGGCCCTGCAACTTAGTGTGTCGAGGAATGGAGGGGGGACGTCTCAACGCTCCCGAGTTGGGCGACCATGGGGCCGATGCAACTCATGCCGCATGAAAGCCTCGTGATATCATCCGAAGATGCGCGGTGTTTCTTTTACATTTTCCAGGTGCCATTGGAATGGTCTAAGTTCCTTGCCTTTAATCGTCCAACACCGCGGGAGATGTGGCCGGATGAGGATGGGCCATACTATCTTGCCTCCCAAGTGCTTCCTATGGGGTTTAAGAACAGTGTGAGCCTAGCGCAACACGTTCACCGTGCAATGGTGCGAAGGGCAGGCGAGGCTAGCAAGGAGGTTCTCAGGCCAGAGCAAGAGATTCGCAAAGATCGCCCGTTCACCACCTCTCGTGAACTTCATCGGATCTACTTGGACAACTTTGATTGCCTGGAGAAGATGGATGCCCGTACGGCGAGGCTCCTTCAAGGGGAGCCAGGACCGGGGGTTCTGGCCCTGCGGAATGAGTATGAGCGGTGGGGAGTTCCCCGGCACCCAAAGAAGGCAGTGGCTAGGTCTGTGAAGGCAGAGGTACAGGGAGCTATCATTGATGGTGAGAGAGGCATTGCTTATCCCAAACCTTGCAAGGTCCTGAAGTACGTCCAGCTGGCAAGTCTCCTAGTGGGGGAGAAGAGATGCTCGCAAAAGCAAGCCCAAGTGGTAGCAGGAGGCCTTGTTTACATGAGCATGTTTCGCAGGCCTCTATTAGGATCTCTGAACGCGATCTGGCGGTTCATCGAAAGCTTCAAGGGCTACCCCCCAGTCATCAAGCTGGAGATCCCCCCTGAGGTGAAGTTGGAGGTTTCCCGTTTCATTGGATTGGTCCCCCTAGCCTGCATGGACTTCCGCCTGGAGATCTCCAAGGAGGTGACAGCTAGTGATGCTTCTACCACAGGAGGAGGTTTGACTAGGAGCACAGGTATCAAGCCGCGGCTTTCTCCTGGGTGAGGGGAGATTTGGCAGAACCATCGGACCTCTGCGGGGTTTTGACCGTCGGCCTCTTCGATGGCATTGGCGCACTACGGGTGGCAGCAGATGCGTGTCAGTTGCCTGTGATTGGGCACATCAGCGTGGAGGTTAACAAAGAGGCAAGCCGAGTACTTGAAAGCAAGTTCCCAGCTAGCCTGATCGTCCCGGAAGGTGTAGAGGCAGTGGATGAGGAGATGGTCAGGACCTGGGCCTGCCGGTATTCCCAAGTGTCCCTAGTGATCTTGGGCGCTGGCCCCCCGTGTCAGGGGGTCAGTGGACTCAACGCAGATCGACGGGGGGCCCTAAAAGATCACCGGAGTGGGCTCTTCATTCATGTCCGTAGGATTAGAGATCTGCTGAAGCGTCATTTCCCTTGGGCGCAAGTACGCTACCTTGCAGAGAGCGTGAGCTCCATGGATCATTCAGATAGGGAGGTGATGTCACAGGATTTTGGTGACCCCGCAAACCTGATCGATGCAAAGGGCGTTTCGTTGGCTAGAAGGCCTCGCTTGTACTGGTGCGACTGGGAGCTGACTTCGTCGGACGCTGTGAGGATTCATAGATGGCAGGGTGAAGGCCCAGGGGGATTCAGGCAGGTGGAGTTGAGTGCTGTGCTAGAGCCTAGAAACTACTTAGGCCCAGGATGCCAGAAAGTCAGCGAGGAGCCTTTCCCTACGTTCACGACCGCGAGGCCCAGGGAGTTTCCAGGACGTCGTCCTGCGGGCATTGAAAAGTTGACCGAGGAAGAGAAACAGGCTTGGGCTCAAGACAAATTCCGCTTTCCCCCATATCAATATTCTCGTCGACTACTGGTACAGCAGCAGGATGGCCAATGTCGTGTTCCCACAACAGAGGAAAGAGAAGTCATCATGGGGTTCCCAAGGGGGTACACGCTCCAGTGCATGCCAAAGCAGGCCCACGGGAGTGAGGCCCATGAGGACACTCGCAAGACACTCATCGGCAACAGCTGGAACGTGACCGTAGTGGCATGGTTGTTGGCTCAACTCGGAGCACTTCTTGGACTATGCCCCGCCAAAACTCCACAAGAAGCAGTCGATGCCACCAAGCCAGGGGGACATAAGACGTTGGGAGGAGTCTTGCAGAAGCCTAGCATGAGAAAGGTGAAGAAGGAGGGAACGGAAGGGGAGTACGACCTGGTGGCCAAACTCCTAAACATGGTGAGCTTGAAAGGCGAAGACATTATGGTCCAAGCCCCCACCGAAGAGACGCTACGGTACCATCGACTACGGGCCAGCCTTCCTTCTACCTTGTGGTCTTGGAAGACGGTGATGGGATGGAGGTGGAATGATGCAAGTGAGCACATAAATGTGCTCGAGATGCGGGCGGCGCTCACATCGCTGAGATGGCGAGTGGTCAAGCGTCGAGCTGTTCAATCCAAATTTGTGCACTTAGTCGATAGTTTGGTGTGCTTACACTCCCTGTCACGGGGAGGAGCAGCAGCCGGAAGCTTCGACGAACGTTGAGTCGCGTGAATGCTCTATTGCTGGCTTCGGGATCTCATTGCGTATGGGCGTATGTCCATACAAAGGACAACCCCGCGGACCGCCCCTCGAGGCGGCCAGTACGCAAGAAATGGTGAAAAATAGAGCAACACATCTCGAAGGCAGAGATAGAGCAACGCGACAGGAGCAGAGAAGAGCTTTGGGACCACTCCGCAATCTCACCGTGCAACCAGCTACGAGAGCCCGCTATGACAAGGCCCTCGAGAAGTTCAGAGACTATTTACGTGGTGAAGGTAGGCGCTTTCCAGACGATCCTCAAGTTCTTGATTTCTGGCTCAGCCATTATATTGAAGTCTTGTGGGAGAGTGGAGAAGGAAGGGCTTTGGCAGCAGACACCATCGCATCGATTCAAGATTTCCGACCAGCCGTCAAGGGGAGGCTTTCATCCTCCTGGAGGCTGATGAAGACCTGGTCAACTACTGAGTTGCCCAACCGGGCACCACCACTGCCGCAAGAAGCACTAGACATTTTGGTAGGGTACAGTTTGTTTCGAGATGACCCGCTTTTCGCCCTCTCACTTTTGTTGGGATTCCATGGACTGCTCCGAACAGGAGAACTTTTGGGAGTGAAAAAGCAACACATCGAACAAGCCGGCCCACGAAGTGTAGCCATTTTGTCTTTGGGAATTACAAAAGGCAGTAGGCGGCAGGGTGCAGCAGAAAGCGTCACTATTCGAGAAGAGGACACACTTAGAAGACTCTGGCAGTGGCGACAAACACCCAGCAGCCGTACCAATCTGTGTGAGGCACCCCATGTTTGGAGAAAGAAATTTGGAGAGGTTTTGTCAGCCACTGGTTTGGACGACCACCTTTTCCGTCCATACAGCTTGAGAAGGGGAGGCGCAACCTCCTATTTCGCCAAGCACGCCTCCTTAGATAGGTTACTTATAGCTGGTAGATGGCAGTCCTCCAAGACTGCCCGGGTGTATATCAATGAAGGACTCGCCATTTTGGCAGAATTGCAGCTTAGGACTAATGCACAGGCAAAGGCATTTAGACGACAATATGAGAAGTCAAAATCTTTAGAGCTCCAAACCCTTGAGCATGCCCCAAAGGGCAGAGCTGGGGGAAGTGGAAGCAAGAAGAGGAAACATGGCAAAAAGCCAAGAAAATAGGTCTTTTTTCTGAATTCGTCACCGCCGGCGGTATAAAAATCGAAAATAAGGAAGGAGTGGAGGGGT